TTTTATGTAGCATACCACAGACATATTTAAACATATCAACATAGATAATCTAAAAGTTTATATTAAAATTGAGAAGTACTAATTGGATTTGATGCCTGTTAATTTATGTACAGTGGGAATGAAGTAGCATGTTGATAAATACAATGTAGAATAAAAGACTTTAATGCCTGAATGATTTACTCATCATCGAATTTTACTCTAATAGTATAAAAGATATTAGCCATTTTTAAGCAGAAAAGAAATAGGGTTTAATGAGCTGATGGAAAATTTGAGCAAAATGGAAAAAAAAAACTTATTCACCAATTACCAGCATAACCATTTCATCTACACGTCCTCTTACTGCAGTTTCACTGCCTACTGAGTGTGACAGGTCATCTCTGGAATCCAGTCCCTTAATTCAAATGTACCTATAACTACTCTGGAGTTGTTAGAAACATTACCGGTTTATCTATCTACCCATTTATTTATCTATTTGTGCCTATGGGGAGACTTGGTCCTTTACTTTCTAGGTGGTTTCATTTTTTGATGTGAAATAAAAAGACTATCTGAGCAGCATGATCCTTTCCTCCCTGAGGAAGAAGATGAACCTGTTAGAATTTTGTCTACAGTATTTTCAGAAGTGTCACCTGTTGTTTGCTATTCTTAGTGTTGTGTACATACTTTAAAAAAAAACTTGGCAATTTATATATGTATATTTATATTATATACTTATATTTATATATCTACACACACACATCTTTAATGGAATATATATGTGTATAAATAAACCACTCTGCTGTACACCAACAACTAACATAATATTGTAAATCAACTATACTTCAATTTTAAAAAATTCTCAGGTTTAAATGTGTTTAAAACTCAAAAATTTTTAAAATGGTGGCCATTGATTTGAAAGCAAATGATTTCTAGGAAAACAGAAAAAAATTACTCAATGAAAAATTTATACATGTATATACAAAACAATATTTGGAGAAGAAGAATTGGTCTGAGTTTTATATCAATATTACCAGTTTCTTCAGTTTACTACATACAATTGCAAGAAAATAAAGTGCATTTTTATACATTACAGGACCCATTATTTCTCACTTGTTTCTTTCTTAAAATTCCTTTTAAGGCCTGATTCTTGAACTTGAGACAGGATTGAATTTTTATTCATATTCATGACTTTGTTTCCCAACTATACATAAATGACTCTCAAATTTATGCCTTGACCCCAGGGTTCTCTTTTGAGTTCCACACTTACATAGCCAGTGGATTCCTCCACCTTATTTCCAGAATATTTCAACAGGACCTTACGTTGACCATAGTCAAAACTATGCTTATGACAAAAGGATGTTGAGGCTGTTTCTCATCTAAGTGAAAGTATCCTCAACCAACTGTCGTTCAAGTCAGAAACCGTATAACCTTGATGATGGTCTGCTTACAGAAGGAGTAGTCTCTCATCAGGTCCACTCTATTTAATTTA